TGCAGGTCCGGGAGGCAGCCCGGTGGGCGAGGGGAGTGGTCGGCATCTTGCAAGGAAGGATTCCCGGAGCCGGGTGGGCAGCAGGGCAGGCGAAGTCCTCAGCCCAGCAGGGCAGGGCCTCCGGCGGCCCATGCCAAGGGAGACCAGCGTGGCATGGAGCGGCTCTCTGGGGTGTGGAGCTTGGGGGTCTCAGCTGTGGTCTGGAGCCCACCTCAGTTATACCTTGAAAGCAGTGCACTCTGCCCTTCTGGGTCCTTTGATAAGTGCCTTGGCACCCCTGACGCCAAGTGGGGAATTTGCCCAGGAGCCTGCCTACGGCCTGCTGCTGCAGATTTGAGTATTCCGATCACTTGTGCAGATATCTCAGATGTGTCCTCCTTGCCAGACATGTTTGCTCTGACAGGGAGTTTCCCTCTTGAGCCAAAGTGTCATGGCTGACCGGCAGCCATCTTGTCTGACATGGGCGACTCCACTTTGTTTTATATACTTTATGCTATTCTGATCGGACCAATGCCATTTTATTGGTCCAGCCGTCCACAAGGAGTTCTTTTATTCCAAAAAAGAGGGGAGGGGGAATGAAATTAGTGTTAGAGACACAGCCTGACTAGGGATTTCGAAGTTATTTTACATCACATTCCAGCCCAGTGGGTCTCAGCCAGGGACAATTTTGCCCTGCAGGAATGATTTTGCAACGTCTGAAGACATCTGTGGTTGTCACAGCTGGGGAGGGGCTGGGGACCGCTGCTGGCACCTGGTGGGTGGGGGCTGGGCATGCTGCTACTACAGGACGGCCGTGCAAAAAGAAATATTCAGTCTGGGTGTCCACAGGGCTCCAGGGACCCACCTGGAGCATTAATTGAGAGAGAACATTCTAGACACCGAAAGGGCTTCATTACTTCTTGGCCCAGACTGGGTTTTCTCAAAACCTTTTTCTTAACTGAGTTCCCACGCTCCCTGCTTCCATTCCATCCCAGCTAAGTGCCCATGACTTCCGGTCCCCCAGCACCCGATGAACAGGAGCAGCCGGCATGCATGTCGAGGAACGAGGCCGAGGGTGGGCTGGGCTGCTTCTCATGACCGATCACGGATGGCCTGGGTCTGCCATCGGTTGGCGAGGTAGGCCAACTCCTGTGGCTTCTCTGATTTCTGGACTATGTTGGTTTACCTCCGGGAGCCCTTTCCACCCCAGGTACTGAGGGGTCGGCAGCTTACTGCTCCCAGGGCTGATGGACAGTGAGGGCCGCCAAGGCCACCGGAAGGGGTTGCCCCTCAGAGAGCAGAGCCCTGAGGTGACTGTTTCTAGCACCGTGGGGAGAAGGCAGGCCTGGGCTGGAAAGAGGGATGCTGTGCCTCTCAAGTAGGACCCCCATCCCATCACTGCCCCTGCTCCCCTCCTCTCCTGAACCCCAGCGCTGCTTCTGGGGGCCCCACCGGCCTCCCTCCGCCCTCACGGGAGCATTGGGGGCTCTCTCAAGATGAGATAAAAAGCCTTTAAGTGCCTCTCGTCCTGCGGGATTGCCTTGCTGAAAGGGAGTCTTAGAAAGAATCTTCTCCAATGATTATAAAAGCGCACTGGAGAAAATTCGGAAAATGCAAAGGCAAATAAAATCACTCCTCTCTTTATATAAAAATGTTATTTCCTTTAGAGGTTAAGAGGGGTCTCTTTGGTCTTTAAAAAGGGTATTCAAGCCCTGACCAGGGTGGCTCCGTGGGTTGGGCATTTCCCACAAATTGAAAGGTTGCCGGTTTGATTTCTGGTCAGGGCACACGCCTGGCTTGCCGGTTGGGTCCCTGGTCAGTGCGTACGAGAGGCAACTGTTGTTTCTATCTCACGCTGTTTCTCTCCCTCTCTTTCTCTCTTCTTTCCCCTCGCTCTAAAAATAAATGAAATCTCTTTATAAAATAAAATAAAAATGTATTAAAGAAAAACGTTACTGTAAAAGTGATACACGTTCACCAGAAGAAAGGAGAAAGTACAGACAATACAAAAAGAAGGAACATTTAAAAATTCAGCTGGATGCACCACACTAATGAATGATGTTAATATTGGATTGGCCACAAAAGTCCGTATGCTTTTTTCTGTAAAATAAAAGACATATTTTTCATTTTCACCAATAACTTTATTGATTTGACTGTTTTGAGTATGTCACTATCTCCCACTATTGGCTTCTAGTGGGTGGAGGCCAGGGCTGCTGCTAAACATCTTCCAATGTATAAGACAGCCCCACAGCCAAGAATTATTGGGCCAAAATGTCAATATTACCAAGAAACTTCACAAACCACTTTTGACACATTTGATCAGTCATAGCACTTTCTTGATACACTGCCCAAATCTTTTTCTTTTTTGCATTTCAGTTGCATTTTTACCTTTCTTGAAATAATAAAGCATAACGTGCCAAAAACATTGTGCGTTTTCTTCCATCTTCAATATTAAAATGGCCACACAAAAATTCACCAATTACGATTTTTTAAAAATGTATGCTGATGTGACAGGTGTCACAATGCACTCTAACAAATTTGTTCCAAGTGAAGTTCAAGACAACTACGCCCTACTAGAGCCATTGTATGGAAAAAACTAAGCGGACTTTTTGGTCAGCCCAACGGTAAGGGGGACTGCTGAGTTTGGGGCGGGGCGGAAATGGGCTGGGTAGGTGCAGGTCTCTGTACTGTCCAAGTTTTCTGTTAGTGAAAAACCACAAAAAATAGCCTATTAATTAAATTATATTTAAAAGAATTTTTTTTGCGTGTGGTTCAGAGACATCCATTTGATAATACTATGGTGTTCATTCTTCAATGCGGGTAAAACGATATTCATTGTACTAGTAGGAGGAGGAATTGCAACAGCTAACCTCTGATGAGTATTTACGACACGCCATGCATTATGCCAAGTGTTTCATCTGTCCCCACTACTGCTCTCAATTCTTCCAACAACCCTGTCACGATGACCGTCACACACTGCTTCCTATGGGACTAACTCTGTAACCTTTCCGACAATCCAGTGAGTCTGTTTTCCAGATGAGGAACCTGAGGTCCAATAGTGTGTAAGTGAATAGGATCCCAGACGAAGAAGCCACAATTTTGACTCCATATCCTAGGAAAGGAAGGCCCCGTCCGGTGACAGTGGCCACTGGCGTGCTCCACAAGGGCTTCAGGGAGCGCGAAGGCACTGGGTACAAGGATTAGTAGGTGCCTGGAGTGTCATGATCACGGATTCGATTGGTCACAGGGGGCCATTTTTCCTGCCTTTGGAGCCTGAAAGGCCAGGTCTGGAGCCCAGCCTGTTCCCAACCACGGGACGTTGTGCAGGCCACTCTGAGCGGCTGGTTCCTCACCTGTAAGATGGGTGCAATTATTTAGATTTAGCTGGCAAAACTGAGAGAATTAAATGTGGAACTCCCGGTATGTTTTAGGTGCTTGACAAAAACATAGCTCAACAGTTCTTGAACCCCAGCTGTGTGGGGGACGCTGGGTTTTAAAGGATCACCGTCTCCTTGGTCTTTTCTGTCACGGGATGTGGAGGCCGCGTGGAGAAGAGGGTCATCAGCTGGTCTGAGGTGGCTGGGGTTTCAGAGGGGACAGGTGGCTGGGGGTGGGGCTTACTCTTGTGCTGTAGTTCCAGATGAAGGTGCTATCATTTCCTCCGCTCAAGCATACACTGAGTGCCCATTGTGTGCCCACGGTGTGCCATGCGCTGGATCGGTCAACGCCCTAGATGCGGAGAGAAAACAAAAAGCACAGCAGACCAGGCCTGTTAGCCAAAGCATGCTCTTTTCCCTCAAACGTGCAACGCAGCATCTTCTAATGACATGCTTCCTTTCTTGAGGAGCTTCATGGGAACATGGCAGAAGTGACGCGTCTTGGTTTGGGATCCACCCAGTGCCTCTATCTGTCACCCAGGATCCCAGACACAGATACTTTTGGTGGCCCCTCCCTTATTTAGAGCCAGCTAATTAAAAGGCACCACACGCACAGGGAAATATACAGGGGTAACTACTTACAAGTTTACTGTCGTTGCAGTTGGTTCCTGCGTAAGTAGTGCATTTAGAGGTGCTTTAATTACACAGTGATTTTTTAACTCCCCTCTGTCCTTTCACCCCTGTTCATGTTCTTGCCGTTCTCAGAATTGGGTTAGGCCCTTGGAAAGCCCGAGCGGTCCTCCTAGACGCCGTGGGAGAGCGTGGGAGCGAGGGCGGCTGAGGGTCTGCGCAAAGGAGCTGGGGGTGCGCGAGCTGTGGATCAGTGTGGCTGAATGCCTGAGGGGCTGAGGGGCCCTGTGTACGCCCCAGAGGTAGCTGGGGGAGTGGGAGCAGGTTTGTGTGTGTGCCCGTGTGTGATTATGGCTCCTAGGTGGGAGCGTGGCCGTCGGTGGTGGTGAAGAAAGGTGAGTGAAGGAAGGTGGGTGAGTGAAGCGAGGCAGCGTGCGCCCCAGTGCGATTGCGGTTCCTGGGGGCGCGCGTGTGCGTGAGGCCTTAGATCCAGGGGGGGGCACAGGTACATGACCGATGGGCGATGTGTGCAGGTGTGTGTGTGATTGTGAATGTAGGATGGTGAGCAGGTGGGAATGTGCGTAGGGCTTGCATGTGAATCCCCGTGGGCGCAAGAGTGAGCATGTGAGACAATGTATGCAACGTGATGGCGTGACCGTGGCGGGGGGCTGCGTGTGTACTGGCGACTACAGGAGGCCGGTGGGCGGGCGGTGGCCGGGCGCGTGCGCGCACGGCGGGGCGTGGGCGGGGGGCGCGTGGCCGGGTGGGCGCGCGTGGGGGGCGCGCGGCGCGGGGCGGGGGCGGGGACACTGCGGCGGCGCGGACCCAGCCAGCCGCCCCCCGTGGCTGGCGCGGGGCGAGCGGGCGCAGCGCGGAGCTCGGGCCCATGGTGCGCCCGTGTCCGTCGGTCGGGCCGCGCGGGCGGCTCCGCGCGTGGCCCGGCGCTCGCGAGCTCGCCCCCTCGCAGCGGTCCCGGCCCGCCCGCTGCCGCCGCCTCCTCCCCCGGGGCAGCGCGGCGCCGGCGGGCGGCGGCGCGGAGGCCGGACCGGGCGGCGGCCCAGGCGGCGCTGGGGGCGCGGCAGGCAAGGCGGGCGGCGCGGGCGACATGACGGACAACATCCCGCTGCAGCCGGTGCGCCAGAAGAAGCGGATGGACAGCAGGCCTCGCACCGGGTGAGCGGGGACCGGGGCCGCCTCTTTGTCGGCGCGCGGCCGGAGTCTGGCCGGGCCTGACAGGTTGGCCGCGCCAGGCGCCATGAGTCCGCGGCCGGGCCGGGGAGGCGCGAGGCGGGCGGGCGGGCCGGGAGCTGGTTCTTCTCAGCTCTGCCCTGGGCCCGGTGCCCCGCGCGATCCAGTCCTTTTGGGCCTAAGCGCCCCGCTCCCTCGCGCCCCCGTCCACCTTCTTTACAAACCCCCAGGAGCTGGGCCCCCCCAGCGCTGTTTACAGTCGCGTGGAATTAGGATCAGCCTTGCCTTTTCACCGTTTTGTCTCCTGATTTCTCCTCATCGTTGTGATTACGATGTGGTCACTATCAAACCGCGCTCCGCGCGGGGAGCAGCCCTCGGACGCCTGGATGTGCTCGGCTTATTGGGGTGGCGGCACGGGCTGCTCCGCACGCCCGCCCCGGGGTCCCCCATCGGCGCCTCCGCGTCCCAGCCCTAAAACGGCCGCCTTCAGCTCCCGGCTCTGGGTGGACCCGAACCCGCGGCCGCAGGAGGGCGGGAGGGGCTCTAACTGGCCGAATTGAGGCCCCCCTCCCCCCCTCCCCACAATTTGAGAGACGGAGCCCCGGGCAGGCAGGGGCGGCCACCTGCTGCGGTTTTCTGGCAGTGACAGAACCTGGGCAGCCTAGGCGTGGGTTTCCCTTGCTCGGGGAGGGGACGGGTGGATATTTTGCGCTCTTCCTTCTTCCTATTCCGAGGATGGCAGTGACCTGTTGAGGTTTTGAGGGACTGGGGCCCCCACTGCGACAGATTTACCTAGGGGTGAGGGTGGAGGGAAGCTAGGTTAAAATGCAGGTTTCAATCCCCTGCCCAGACCCGCCCATCAGAGCTCCTGGGGGTGCGTTTCCCCAGGCTGCCCAGGTGAGGCCCGGACCTCCCCCCGCCCCGCCCCGCCGCCCGAAGGCCGAGAGCGGGTCTGGGCGGGGCTGCGGCCTTCGACCCGCCCTTCCCGTTGGCAGCCTGTCCTATCTGGCACTTCCCTGTGGCCGCGGCTCATTGCAGCGTCAGTTGCTCGGTGCGGGGGGTGGGGGGCAGGGCGAACGCCTAGGGTGGCTTCTTCAGGTGTGCGTGGCGGCGGCGGGTGGCGGCGAGGGGAAGGGATGAGGCCAGCTGCCATTTTGAGGGGTCTTTGTCCCTGCCTTCCTTGAATCTTCCGGTGAGGCCCCATTGATGTAATAGGAGGAAACAGCCCCGCGAGGCTACTAGGGACTGCCGGGAAGACGCTGCAAAGGGACACCGGATTTAGGGTGGCCTGGCCCAGACAGCCCTCCACGGCTTCCTTCGCTGTTTAGTGTTTTAACCCCGACCACTCGAGGCTGAAAGGATGACGCGAGCTCTCGGCCTGGGATGAGTGGCTGCGTGTAATATCCACCCTTAGGAAATATTTTAAATAATGTATGTGATCGATGGACTCTAAAGGTTAGTTGTTAATTCATGCTGCAAACAATTATGAAATGCGTGCTGGGTGGCAGGTCCCTGCCTGGGGGTCCAAAGATGAATTGACTAAGACCTGCCCAACAGATGTGTGTCCTGCCCCTACCCCTGCGTTTGAACCACCTGGGGAGCTTAGGCAACCCCGTGTTAGACCTTCGAGATCGGAATTGGGGGTGGGACCTAGGCATCTCTCAATATTTAATGTTTTCAAAGCTCCCAGGTGATTTTAATTGCAGTCACAGTTGAGAAATTCAGTGTGTGAGAGAAAATGCAAATAATTATTTAAAAGTGGAAAGAAAGAGGTGCCGTTAATGTGGGGATCTTGAAAGAGTGATGCAGACAAAGAAAGAAAAAAAAAAAAGATTGCCATTTGGTACTGCATTGGAGGATCACACCCCCTTTAGAATTTGTCACTTTGGAACTAAGTCATTTCCTAAATAATGACACGGATTCAGGCTCAAGTCATGTATCAGAGAGCCAGGCACTTGCAGTTGCGTTCCTGTATTTAATCTACAGCTGTAGAAGGGGGCGAGTTGAGGTGGGACTCTCAGTGGGCGGAAATACGTTGGAAACGGTGCTGGCGAGGCTTCCTGAAACGTAATGCAGGGAGGCGAGTTAGAGGAAGAAGAGACTAATGTGTGATGGGTCAGGCTCTCTGCTCGGCCCATGAAATTAAATGGCCCTGCTTTAATCATCATAGCGACTTTGCCATTTTGGGGAAAGAATTTCCTTTTTTTATAGACGAGAAAACCAAGATTCGGTGATGTTAAATACTTTGCTGGACATCACATTGATAGTCATTGTGAGGAGCTGGTTTTGAACCCAGTCAGCTCATTTCCCCTAATAGCTCTAGGCTGTAGGGTGGTTGGTGGGCTTTGTGGTTTAAAATCCAAAACCATGGGTGCCACGAGTCCAAGGAGACAGTGTCCCTCGGAGTTGACTATGTCATGTTGCCGAGAGGTGAAGTTTACTTGCTGAAGGAGTCCCAGGGCCCCTTCTCTTTTGAGAACGTTCCACATCCTGCTGTTGAGAAAACTGTTGCCGTGGCTCAGTTAGGAAACAAGACATTTGCCCCATATTGCTGGAAACCATTTTCTGACAGTGTGGGCTTTGCTTCTGGCTGAACAGAGTCCCTTTCTTCTTAGTGAAGCACCAGAGACTGGTTGTTACAAGTGTGGGTTTGCGCCCTGGCAGGTGCGGCTCAGTGGATTGAGTGCCAGCCTGTGAACCAAAGGGTTGTCCGTTCGATTCCCAGTCAGAGCACATGCCTGGATCGCAGGCCAGGTCCCCGGTTCCCGGTGTGCAAGAGGCAACCACACATCGATGTTTCTCTCCCTGTCTTTCTCCCTCCCTCTAAAAAGAAAGAAAAGCAATCTAAAAAACAAAAATGATAAAGTGTGGGTTTGGGAGTTGAGGAGCTGGATTTAAGCCCAGCCTCCGCTGCTTACTACCTGTGTGATTTGGGAAAATTATTTTAATCTCTCCGGGTCTCAGGTTTTTCATCTGTAAAGTTGGAATGACAATTGCTTATACCTTGTACGGTTGTTTTGAGACTCAGTTTGTCGACAGTGTAGAACACTAAAGCACTCAATACACCTTCGTTTGTATTTACTGGTGAGGTGGGCAGAATGATGTCCCCCCCGCAGAACGTCCATGTGTGACCTGTGAATATGTTACCTTATGTGGCATAAGGAACTTCCCAAATGTGAAGGTGGGGGACTATCCCTGATGACTCAGGTGGGCCCAGTGTCATCACAAGCACCCCTGAAAGAGGCAGGGGAGCGCGTCTCGGAGCTGGAGAGAGACGAAGACGCGGAGCTGCCGGCTCAGAGATGGAGACGGGGCCCCGCGCAAAGGAGCCTGGGGCATCCAGAAAGGTCAAGGAAGGGGCTGGTCCTGCCAGCGCCTTGACTTGAGCCTCACAGAACCGCTCTGGACTCCTGACCCCCAGAGCTGTTGGGGAATTAATTACCTTGTGGTCATTTGTCGCAGGAGGAAGGGGAAGCTGATGCGGAGGGGTGTGTGTGTCCCATAGGCCTGGAGAACGGATTCTGCCACGAGGCTTCCCATCCTGCTGGGGGCTACCTGCCTGGTGGGGGCAGCAGGGGCACTGCAAGGCTCGAGGGGGCAGCGTGTACTCTGGCGTGCTGCCTGACTCGTACCCTGACCACGGAGGCGGGGCACGAATATTTATTTAGGACCCATAGCTTTTTGACCTGAACTAGTGTTTTCTCGTGCTACATACAGAACGGCTGTAGCTGTTTGATGCCTTTTGTTTTTTTTTTAAAAATCCTTGCTTTACTGATAAAGAGAAAGATTAGGGAATTTTCCAGAGCCAAGAATGCGTGGAAACTGACAAGAACTCAGGTGAGAAGGGTTTGCCGGAGCAGCCAGGCGGGCCGCTGGAAGGCGTGCGAGCAGCTCTGAGCCCTCCAGTGCTGTTTTCCTCGGTGTACTTGTTTCATTTCTCCTCCTGTAACAGTGAATTATTCTTTTGCCAGATGACGCAGGCTAGAGAATGTGGGAGTTGCAGTCTAGGTATATCGCGTTCTGAAAACTGCAGCGAGAACAAAGATAAGAATATTGTAGGTTACAATCGGAAAGACCCAGCAGTGGGCGCGGGCTCCTTGCTTTGCGGTTATGCATTTGGTTTCCAGGGTCACACGGACTGAGGTTAATGTACCAGCTTTGCCATTTTACTGCTTGTATAACTCCAGGCCCCTGTCAGGTCTGTTCTGTGCCTTGGTTTCCTCTTGTGTAAACATGCCTGGGCCGTAGTATGAGCCCTTGGAGAACATCAGAAACCGTTCTTCTGTCAGTCTGGAGGGTAGGGCTGGGGGCATCCTGTGGACTCTCGCACTGGATGACATCTCTTCTTCCTTCTAGGTCTTTGCAGAAGGTGTAGTGGGGTAAGGACTCCGGCTGCACAGTGGCCCGCGGAGCACTTGCCTCTGGTTGACGCTGCCGCAGACCTCGGATTACTAATGTCTCGTGACAGGGCTGTGGCGGGCTGGGTGCTTCTTTGCAGCCGCCCTCGATGCCAGGCGGGGAGCAGGGTCCGTCCTCCGAACTTCTCTGGTTATGGGAACTAAGAGCCGTAATGACGCTGTAAGGAGGTCTTCGTGCAGATAGGCGCATTTAATTGAAAAGCCGGTACTTTGTATTGAAGCCGTTATGTCTAATTTGTGGGACTACAGTGTCTTTTCTCTTTGGATACGATGGGGGTCGTGTTAGGCACAGAGCACAGTTGACCCTCATCAGTCACAGTAGTTACATTCTCTGAAGTCCCTGCCACCCCTGAATGAGCGACTAGTGAATTATTGCTCCTGGGGAGGTACAGGGTGAGGTGCCTGCGGCCTCTGCTCACAGCACTTTTGTCAACTAATCAATACAGAACCTTGTTTTAGGTACATTTCTGTTTAAAGGCACTGTGTTTGATGTGGATGGCCAATTCATTAACAGTGAACTCACAACTCACAGCACTATGCTCATGCTGGAAGGAAGCGTCTCAAACA